ACGGCTGTGCGGAAGCACACACACACACCTGCAGGTTCATCACCTGGGAGGCTGGTGCAGAAAGGATGGAGGCCACACAGTAAGACGTTGTCTCAAACACACACACACACACACACACACACACACACACACACACACACACCAAACAAACAAACTCCTGGGAATATGGTTCAGTTGGTAGGGTGCTTATCTAGTAAGAATGAATTCCCAGATGTATATGACATCTTTGGTGTCATATATACTGGGTATTGCCATCCCATCCACTTGGGAGGCGGGAGCAGGAAGACCAGAAGTCCATGGTCATTCTTACTTACACACTGAGTTTTAGGCCAGCCTGTGCTACATGAGAGACCCTGTCTTAAAAACAACAACAACAACATCTAAAAAAATACAAAATAAAAGACAACAACAACAACAGCTAACTAATTAACCAACAGAGAGATACCAACAAAGGCCTTTCAAGTTAGCCAAAACCAAAAATGGAAATAAAATTGAGTATACCTAAACTCCCAGTGTTTCAAGAGCTTGTGAAACTGGAGCTAAGGGATTATTGGTGGGAAAAACAAAGCTGGCAAGTCGCTCTGGAGAAACGTTGGGCAGTTTCCTATAAACTTACAAACACGGAGGATCATAGGACACACTCCTAGGAAGGGCATCCAAGAGATGCCCCCTTAAAGTCCATTGCAAACTGGTCAGAGTGGCTTTGTAAAAAATCACTGAAAACTGTAGGCTGGAGAGATGGCTCAGAGGTTAAGAGCACCGACTGCTCTTCCAGAGGTCCTGAGTTCAATTCCCAGCACCCACATGGTGGCTCACAACCATCTGCAATGAGATCTGGAATCCTCTTCTGTGTATATAATAAATAAATCTTAAAAAAAAAAAAAAAAAAAAACTGGAAACAAACCAAATTCTACTGCCCAGTAAATGGATGAACATCTGCAATATATTCATTTTGGGGATACTTGTTGCCAATAAAAATGTTGTTGGGGAAGAAACTCCAGCATAGATGGATTTTCTGGTTCTTTTTTTTTTTTTTTTTTTTTTTGTTTTGCTTTTTTTTTTTTTTTTTTTTGGTTTTTCGAGTCAGGGTTTCTCTGGGTAACTTCAGAGCCTGTCCTGGACCTCTCTCTGTAGACCAGGCTGACCTCGAACTCACAGATATCCACCTGCCTCTGCCTCCCGAGTGTTGGGATTAAAGGTGTGCACCACCACTGCCTGGCCACATTTTGACTTTTACAGAAGTCAAAGCTCAAACAATTACACTGGGTTCATCAGGGATTGCAACTGGACACGAGGACCGGAAGACTTTTCACAAAATGGTTGGAAGCATGGGACGATAAGACTTCAGGAGGGGCTCAAGAGATGAGTCAGCTGTTAAGAGCACTGGCTGCTCTTCCAGAGGATCCTGAGTTCATTTCCCAGCAACCACATGGTGGCTCACAATCATCTATGACTGTATTTTCACGAGATCTGTTGCTCTCTTCTGGTGTGCATGCATACAAACAAAACACCTATATACATAAAACATAAACAAATAAACCTTTGGGAAAAAAAAAAAAGGCTCGAAAAAAACCTCCCCAGGTCATGTAATCATAAAGGCAGAAATGGAGGTTGGACGCGGTGGCACTCGCCTGTCTTTGGAGACTGAGGCAGGACTGGCCTGAGTTTGAGGTCAGGCTGGGCTGCACAGTGAGATCCTGTTTAATTAAGGTGTTTTTGTTTGTTTGTTTGTTTCCTCATCATAAATACTGTGGGTAGCAGTCGTCTGGCGACCTCCTGCGATGTATCGAGAGGCAAAGAAGGCAAAGCCAGTGTGATCTGAGACAGGGAATTCAACGATGGTGGAGAAGTGACTGAACTCCACAGTCCTTCAAAGGACCCGAGTCGCTTCTGAATTTCCCTCCACCCATCAGCTGCGGGTCTTCTTATTAGAAATACTCATTTCAAAGCTCTGTCCTAAGACTTGACGGACTCCAAATACCATGAGGCTGTAGCTTGGAATCTACATGTTTGAAACCGCCTGGAAGCCCGCAGGCTGTCACAACCAGAAAGAGCAGCCCCAGGCTCCGCCCCCGCAGGTCCTGGCCCCGCCCTCCTCTTTTGGTCCGTCCCCGCCCCTGCCGTGCCCATCAGTCCGGACCTTACAAGCATGGCGTAGTCCCCGCCTCTAGCCCCGCCCCCGGCGTGATTGTCGGGCCCCTAGCCTATCCCCACACAGGCCTGGCTCCAGGCTCCACCTCCTCCTTCATGCTATGGCGGCCTCCGGAGCCCTTTCCCATGACACCTTGCGCTCGGCTGTGTTTGTTGCCTGGCAACTCCCAGGCCCGAGTCCCGGGCCCGGGATGCTCTGCTCGGCCATGGGGCCGCGGGGCTTCCCGCTGCTCCTGCTGGTGCTGCTGAGCTGCTGCGCTTCAGCGAGCACCCAGGCCGTGGCTACCCCAGTGGTGGCCACCCCGGCCCTGGCCACCCCGGCCGCGGCTACCCCGGCTGCAGCTACCCGGGCCCTGGCCACCCCGGCTGTGGCCACCCCGGCTGCAGCTACCCCGGCTGTGGCTACCCCGGCTGTGGCCACTCCTGCCGTGGCCACCCCGACCATGACGAAGGAGGACCTCAACTCCACCGAGGCCACCCCAGCCACTCTCAAGCCCTCCTCCTCGTCGCCTAGGACCCCGGGGACTCCCAGGGCTCCGGAGCTCTCAGGCCCCAGGCCCACCCCGGTCACGGACGGTGGGTACCAAGTGTGAACTCCCCGGAGCGGGTAGAAGACTAGTGAGAACGTAGGGAAAATGATAACCGCTCCAAGTTCCGTCCTTCTCAGGCTCCCTGCCCTCACCCAGAGAGGGAGACCGGAGCGCGGAAAGCGGGGCCTAAGTGGGACACTCTCAGATCTTGGAAAAACTTCAGTTAGTCCCGGGCAGTGTTAATGCCCAAAGTTCATAATGAATAAATTCGCGCAGCCGAAGATGAAGTTAGTTTCTGGGACGTGGAGGAAATGAACGCATAGGCTCTGTTGAACTTGTCAATAAGAACCTTTCAGACGCCGGAGGTGCAGCTCACTTAGAATGATTGATCTCTGATCAATGATCAATGATCTCTGTTGATTTCGGCTTGCCTCCAGTATTGAGTGGGAAGAGGGAAAGTGTAAGTGAGGGCTTAGGCCCAGATATGAGGGTTTGTGTTTATGGATAATGAATGTGTCTCAGAAACTGGTCTTACTTTAAAATATATATATTGCATTTACTTATTTATGTATTTGGGCATGAGATACCACGGCCATGTGGAGGTCATAGGACAGCTTGAAATTTGCTCCTCCCAAACCAAGTGGGTGCCTGGCCTGTTGGCAAGTGCTTTTATCTGTACTATATCACCAGCCGAGAAACGGATCTTTTAGTCTTGCAGTTACACATTTAGTGAATATTTGATAATCTGACTTTACACCTGTGACTTCAGAGGCTCTGTGACCCTTTGAGTTTGTGAATTTTTTTTTAAGATTTATTTATTTATTATGTACACAGAAGAGGGCACCAGATCTCATTACAGATGGTTGTGAGCCACCATGTAGATGCTGGGAATTGAACTCAGGACCTCTGGAAGAGTAGTTGGTGCTCTTAACCTCTGAGCCATCTCTCCAGCCCCGAGTTTGTGAAATTTTGTAACCGCATTTTTTTCTAGGGTGAGGGTTTGTAGCAGTCATTAGGTTCTCAGTGGAGCTGTGATTTCAGAAAAAGAATTTCAGACAGTCTTGTCTGGATTGAGAGTAGCAGTGTGGGTTTGTGTGTGGTTTTTATTACTGTTTGAGAGAAAAAGATCTTTGACCCAGTAAGGCTGAGCGTATAGATAACTCAAAAGAATTGTCTCTGGCTGCTATCCTGAACGCTTCGAGTTAATTTCAGCTTATTCTTCTTGGAGGCCTCCAAGTAGTTTATGAGAAAAAAAAAAAAGTACAAAGGCTGGTGGGTGGTGTGGTTCAGTGGTTGGGTGTTCACTTAGCTTGTAGGAGGCCGTGGGTTCAATCTCCAACACCAAACGGGGAAAGAAATGAGAAATACATTTGATACTTGAATATATAAACCAGACTCTCTGCTTTGTGTTTAACCTGCTGACTTGTGAATTAGCAGAGAAGTCAAATCATTGTATGTGGGGACAATATAGCCAGGTATGCGTGTCTGAAACTCTATAAGGTTTTTCTTTGAGGGGGTGTTGGTTTATTTTTTTAGAAGCAGGATTTCTCTGTGTAGCCCTGGCGGTCCTAGAACTCCCTCTGAAGACCAGGCTGGCCTCCGAACTCACAGAGATCTGTCTGCCTCTGCCTCCCAAGTACTGGGACCAAAGGCATGCACCGCACCACCCGGCCTTACACTTCACTTTTTTTTTTTTTTTAAAGATTTATTTATTTATTATGTATACAGTGTTCTGTCTGCATGTATGCCTGCAGGCCAGAAGAGGGCATCAGATCTCATTATAGATGGTTGTGAGCCACCATGTGGTTGCTGGGAATTGAACTCACGTCTGGAAGAGCAGCCAGTGCCCTTAACCACTGAGCCATCTGTCCATCCTGCAGTATGTGCCCTTAACTCCTGAACCATATTCTCCAGCCTGCTTTAAAACCCTTCCAGTCTCCTGCCTTCTCCTTCCTGCCTAGATCCCTTGTTAACAGTTTTGCTAAGTTGACCAGAATGGCCTATAACCTGCATACCTTCTTGACTGGGAGGCACAGGTGTTGGCCTCCTGTCTCTAGAGCTGTTTTCGGTTGTGAAACCATTCATTCAGACATTCAAGAATGTCGGTGTGACATCCTATAAGCATTTGACTAAAATTCCTTCCTTTGTTTGTAGTTCGAGATTGTCCCCCCCCCCCCAAAAAAAAAAAAAGAAAACAAAACAAAACATTACAGTTAAGATTCAGTGAGGCCTTGGCTGGGGGAGGGAGGAACCATGGTGGTCCATACCTGTGATCCCGAATTTTCTCCAAGGGGTAGGAGGATTAGGAGGCCAGGGTGCTCCACATGAGCTTCTGTTTTGGGGAACAGAGCAAACAGCAATAGCAACAACAGAATACTGAAATTTTTATTTCCTGAATTTATTGTTTCTCCTCTCCTCACAATAGTCTGGGCCGTGAACTCAGTTTGTTATTTTCATACTGGTATTGTTTTGTTTTTTAAGATTTATTCATTTTTATCTTATGTGGATGGCTGTTTTGCCTGCATGTATATCTGTGTACTCTAAGGGTGCCTGGTACCCTCAGAGGCCAGAAGAGGGCATCAGATCCCTTGGAACCGGAGTTACAGATGGCTGTGTGCTGTCATGTGGGTTCTAGGAACCAAAGTTAGATCCATTGCAAGAGCAGCCAGTGCTCTGAACTGCCTAGCCTTCTCTTCAGGCTCTCGGTTATTTCTTTCAAAGGGTTTTCTCTGTTTGACAGGGAATGAATAAGGCAGTAACGTTAGTAATGAATTGAAACAGTGTAGTCAAATACTGAGTGCCCAGAGCTCTCGGTCCTTTGGAGGAGGAGGCTCTCTCTGCTCATGTGGATGTCTCTGTGAAGGGGGGGCTGACAGTGCAGTGGGAAGAGTCAAGATGAGCGGCAGGGTGGACAAGGTCAGAGTTGCTACCGCACTGAGGAGTGGGGTTCCTGCTTTTCCTCCATGCGGTGTTATCCTGCCATCAATTTATTACCCTGTATTGTAAATTTTAAAATTAAAAAAAAAAAAAGAACATTTTGGCTGGACAGTGGTGGTATACACCTTTAATCCTAGAACTTAGGAGGCAGAGGCCTGAGTTCGAGGCCAGCCTGGTCTACAGAGTGAGTTTCAGGACAGCCAGGGCTACACAGAGAGACCCTGTCTCAAAAAGAAAAGAAAAAAGGACATTTTAAGTCAAAATAGGAACATTTGATTATTGGTCAGGATCTTATGACTGGGAGTTCAGTTTCAAAGCAACCAGCTGAAAAAGCCTTTAATCCCAGTGGTTAATCCCAGCACTCAGGAGGTAGAGGCAGGGGGATCTCCAGGTTCGAGGTCAGCCTGGTCTACAGAGTGAATTCCAGGAAAGGCAAGGCAGAGAAACCCTTCCTTGAAAAAAAAAATTGAAAATAAAAAACAACCAGGGTGTGTGAGGAAAGGGATGAGTTGCCAACAATCCTTCCTTGGAATCGACTCTGAAGTATGAGCGCAGGCATCTGCAGCCACCTGAGGGAGACCTGACGGGGTACTCAGAGTGACTGAGGTAGCTTTCCCGCAAGCACTGTGGGAACCAGATATCTTGTGACATTGACTTCTGGGGTCCTTAGGTGGCAGGGAGCAGTAACAGCCTGCCCTCTGTGACCCTCCGAACACCCCCCCCCATCCCCGTCTTTATTTCTCAGTTGCTGCTCTGTGCGTCTGTGACCTGCTTCCAGCCCAGTGTGACGTCAACTGCTGTTGTGACCCTGACTGCAGCACCGTGGATTTCAGCGTCTTCTCTGCCTGCTCAGTCTCACTTGTCACGTAAGCATACGACAGGGAGTTCTGATGGCCAGGACAATAAAATTGGTGGACACAAAATGTGTTCCTCACTATTTAGAAGCCCTGCTGTGCAAAGCCCCGTGTGTCAGAAGCAGTTGCTTGTCTGCGTGCGACCCCACAACAGTGTGGGCAATGGAAGGGCATGTGTGTTACCTCTAGAGGAGCCGTTCTCAACCTGTGGGGTCGTGACCTTTGGGGGTCACATGTCAGATATCCTGTATATCAGATAGTTACATTGCCATTCATAACCAGAAAAAAATTACAGTTATGAAGTAGCAATGAAATCATCTTATGGTTGGGGGTCAGTACAACATGAGGAACTGTATTAAAGGGTCTCAGCATCAGGAAGGTTGAGAACCACTGCTCTGGAGTGTTATAAAATAAGACTCTCTGTGTTTGTAGATTAATGTTTGAGCTGTGCAGAGGTAATGTGTCACCAGTTTGTACCTGTGAATTAGTCTCATACAGCCTAGGTGTGTGTATAGTATATGCCTAAGTGTGCATGTATAAGTATGGGTGTGCTTATCTTTGTATTCATGGGTGTTGGCCAGAGGTCACATGGGTCTCATCATCTATTGCTTTCCACCTTAATTTTGTTTGTTTGTTTGTTTGTTTATTTTAAGGTAGGGTCTCTATGTGTAGCCCTGGCTATCCAGGAACTCACTCTGTAGACCAGGCTGGCCTCCCTAGTGCTGGGATTGAAGGCTTATAGCAGCACCATCCAGCTCCACCTTCATTTTTGAGATGGGTTTTCACACTGAACATGGAGCTCCTTTTTGTTTTTTTGGCTAGACTGGCTGGCTAACAGCTTGTCTCCTCCCCTGCCCGGTGCCCTGATACAGATACCCACCAATGCCTGGCTTTTATCCATGCTGGGAACCGAACTTAGGCCCTCATGCTCTTGAGTGGAGTACTTTACCCACTGAGCCACCTCCCCAGCCCCTGTCTTTCCCAGCTCTTTCTGTGGACACTAACTAGTTAGTTGGGATACTTGGTGTGCACCTCTCTGGTTGAAAACAAAGCAAGGATTGATTCTCAGTTCACAGTGCATGGGAAATGATGAGACCTTCTCATGGGAATACAAGGTGAAGAAGTGATCAGTTCTGAGTAATCTCATCTTGTGTTTCAGAGGTTTTTGCAAAAAAATAACAGTCCTTTGAAAAGACTCATGCATTCAGGGTGGGACCAGCTTATTGCAGAGAGAGCTGACTGAAATTCAATGACAGCCACATGACAGGCTTAGTCCTTTTGGAAACACAGTGGTCTCTTGCCATGGGAAATCCTTTTATCAACCCTTGGGAGAAACCGAATCCCCCTCAAATGTTGTGAAGAAGCTTGGAAAGCAGGTTGCTGGAGGGGGTCCTTTTCTGGCTTCCAGGACCAGAGATTGATTTAGCCTTCCTTGAAAATAAGTCTGCTCTTGTCTTGGGTCTGTAAGCATGTACCACCAGACCTGTAAGAAGGTCATTTTTGTGGTTGGGGATTTAGCTCAGTGGTAGAGTGCTTGCCTAGCAAGCCCAAGGCCCTGGGTTTGGTCCTCAGCTCCGGAGGGGGGCAGGGGAAGAATGTCATTTTTGAATTGGAGTGCCATTTATTAAAATACAGTAATTAAGTTTTTTTGAGACAAGGTTTCACT